TCGGAGGGAGGGAGGCAGGGAGGCGATGCGGGCGCTGGGCGGTTCCTCCGCTGCAGCCTGAGGGGGCGAGATGAGGGCAGGGACCCAGGGGGAGGAGGAGGGACAGTGCCCTCCGCTCACCCAGCCCTACTCGGGGAAAGCCGAGCTCCTCCCGGCGAAGGGCTACTCGGGAGTGAACAAATCGCGGGATTTCAGCCCAAAAGCCGCGGCCGTCCCGTTCGGAGATGCCCGTCTTCTCCCGCCGTCCCGTTTTGCTGTGTCCGACGGCTTCACCTTCCCATGGTTATGGCGTATTTAGGAGAGTAAAGGGGGGACAACCGTGTTGTTCAAATGAATGACATGTTAGTCACAGACCCAGAAACTGCTGCTTCAAAAGCAATACTGGTGCTGAACATACTTTTTTTGTTGAGCATCTGGCAACCACTGAACGCACGATCATTCCCAAAAGGAAATAATAAACTGGATTGACCTTTAAAATCATCTTCTTCCAAGCCTCCTGCACAGGCAGGGACACCTCCCACTGGACCAGGTTGCTCCAAGCCCCATCCAGCCGGGCCTTGAACACTTCCAGGGAGGCGGCAGCCACAGCTTCCCTGGGCAACCTGGGCCAGGGTCTCATCACACTCAATCTGCTAACTAGAACACTGATACCAAGTGTCCAAGGGAAGAATCTGAAATCTCATTATAGTAGTAGTGGAACAAATGTTAATTTCCATGGACCCTTTGACAGTTTAATTAACGTCAAATTAAGGGCAGGAACTCTGTTTTCCCCTGTGCAGCTTAATGGCCTGTAGCTAATGCTGAAACGTATAAGCAGGAGGAAAAGCAGGCCGAGGATGGTCACTTTATGAATACAATTGCATAGTTTAAATACAGTTTGATGTAGTTTGTTGACTCTGGGAGGAAGAGATAGACTAACCACTCCTTGCTGTCCTGTTTATCGGAGGGTGTGCCTGTGTTTCTGGTGCAGATTTCTGAAGGGAAAGACGTTTTTGAAGCAATCAGGGTATGGATTTCCTGAGGGAGAGTTAGGGAAAAGCAGCATTTCAAAAGTGAAAATGAAACCTTTTCTCAGCATCGGCCACTGGTTTTTATTCCAAGGTACACTTTCCATTAAGGATGACCAAAAGTAGGCTGAAGTCCAGACGTGAAGTTTGTAGGGAGAAATAACAAGCTTGGTTGGACAAACCGCTGGGAGCGGCGATTAGTTAAACAGAAAGGGGCTAGAAGAGCTGCTGAATTGCATCATGCATTGGAAAATGTACTTGGCTTAGCAGTACTTGAGAGAAAGTTGAAAGGACTTTGACTTAGGGCCTCCATTTTTGAACTTGAATGTAGGTTTTGGTGTATTAAAATTAAAAATAACCAGAATATAGACCTTTCAGTTGCTGCCGATGGTACATAAACCCAAGTGGGGGATATAGACGTGTGGAGGTTATAGACATGAGGAGGAATATTGTCTTGATTTAAAGCCCATGTGGCAGTTCAGACAAGTTTATGTGTAACATGACCCTTTGTTAATCAAAGGGCCTCTGTATATTGATGCCAGCTTCTTAGTGACACCACTGAGACTTAAAAACTGGACCTTACAAAGTGCTCAGCACAGTTTTCTCTCTGTAGAAAGCTTTCAGCATCTCCCGGTGCTGCTGACAGCTTCTGCTGGCTTCTGGAAGGAATGGCAAATACTTTTCCTTTCATCTGAGGAAGCTTTAGTCATTCTTTTACTTTGCAGACATAGCATTTGTATATTTCATTATGAAAAGCTGTTAGATTCTGATGTATGTACAGAAAGGCATGCGTATTTCTCCCTCATATTTGCATATATGCATATACAATGGGAAACGACCCTAGCATCCATATATGCAGATCTTGACAAAGCATGCTAAGGCAATGACACAGAGGCTTTGTTTCCCCTCCTCCCCATGTATTACATCTCCAGAGGACTTTATTTTACACAAAATGGTGTGTGAACAAAATATAAGGTCTGTAAGATTAATTAATCATCAGGAGAAAATTATGTCAAGATTATTGGTCTTCATTTTGCCAAAGTTCACCTGTGTGGTATGATATGATATGATATGATATGATATGATATGATATGATATGATGTGGTTTGATTCACAAGTGTTCCTTTTTTTCCCGGTAATCTTTTTCCCATTCAGTGTGATGCATGGAGTATGCTCAGAAAGTGAAAGAGCAGTTAGGGCAGCCTTCTCTCCATCTTTCGGTGTGTCCACTCCATATCTTACGTATTTCAGTGTCTGCTGCCTTCCACAGAGACTGGGGCAGCAGCCAGCAGTTCTGCCATGGGAAGAGAAATTACTGAAAACTTTTTTTGGTCTTTTAAATTTTTTTGTTTTGGTAGAAACTTTTTTTGTGTTTGTTGCTCTCATGATTGACTGTTAATGTTTTAATGCTGTAGATGTTTGCTCTCCATTAATTTGGTGTTTGTTTTCCAGTATGTCCTGTCTGTCCTGGAATTTACCTACCCTACCCTTTTTCAAGGGTAAGTACTGTTTTAAGATTACAGTCATTTGAAAAATGACTTTAATCAGTAAATGTATTGCTGTTCCATGCTGAACCTAACTTTAGTACCTCTTGTCTTTACTGGCTTTTGCTGTCTAGAGAGCATACTCCATGAAACCCTGATAAAGCATTCATTAATATGTTTTGGTTGATTATTAAACATCGTGATGGTGATGTAATTAAGTTATATAGACTTCGTAATTGCTTATTTTTCTGAAAGGCTTGTGCTTCAGCAGAGAAAAGTAGCAATTATAGTACAGCCTGTCTTCTTTGGAAGTGTCATTCATTTGTGCTTAGCGTTTGTTGTAACTACATCACAAGTCACTGTTATATCTTAATGGTTGTAATGAGAAATGTAATGTTTTGCCAAGTATCCGTATATACTGTTAATAATTTGTGAGACATTTAGTGAAAATCTGGCCTTTCAGAGTCAAGACTTCCCCCATTTATTCTTTTGATACAATGATAAAATCTGCAGACACTGGATATCTTTAATTCCTTTACTGCTGCTTAGCATGGCTTATAGCTTTGCCTGACATTTGGGCTCAGGACTGTGGTTAACTCTAGGAATCATTGCCTTTGGAATCTTCATTTTCTTTGAGTGTACTCAGCTCTATTAAATATGCAACAAATGCTTTCTTCAGTTCTGACACACACACACACAATCTCTTGGACAAGGTGTTTATTATACGCGGAAAGGGTTTTGCAAAATGTGTGTAAAATACAAGTGTGGTAAGTCAACAATAAAAAAAACACATTTCAATGGCAAGCAACTATGTTATAGTATCTGTGTTACTATGTTACTGTGTTACCACAGTTATTTCCTTTTTCTATTATTTGGAAATGCTTCTCAGCATCTTAAAATTTTTCCCTAAGTTCTGGCTTTTAAAGGTGACCATTCCTTGAAAATTAAGTGGCTCAGATGCACCTTCATTTAGAACTGTGACAGAATGAGCAAAGAAGGAAAAGAGTGTTATTCTCAGTTCATGCAGTTATTGTTCATTGCTAATATTTTTGTTCCCTGTGTAATCTAAGACTATATGGCATAGTTGTAAGGATCTGGAACTGTTAAGACTTCAACTTCTATCCTTAAAACCTGAGACAAGAGGAAATTATTCAGAATAAATTTAATGGGAATTCATGCACTGGTTGAGCATGGTAAAGCTGTGGCAAACATCAGGACTACCTGGCTTTTAAGCTCTCACATGCTTCTCATTTAAAAAAGGTGAAGTGAGCTGTGATAGTAGCGTCGAATATTCATCATACCAATGTTCACAAGGAGCTTGCTCTTCTCTGACACTGTCCAGCTGTATGTAATACTGCACAGAGTGAATATTTTTTAGTGTACGTGTGAGAGAGATTTTAAATAACTGCTTAAATTCATTGCAATGAATGGGAATAATAAATGAAATAATCTCTGTGCTTGTTACAGATATTAATGTGATTTAACACTGTGGTACAGGATCTCTGTCTGAGGTAGATGTTGAAGGATTTTCACCCAAGGAATATGAAACACCCCTCTGAAAACCACTAGCTTAAGGAAGAAGGAAGCTAATAACTTATTTTAAAGCTTTAAAAAAAAGTGTGTTTCACTACTAATTTTAAGTTATCTGCAAGCATTTCCAAGACTTCTTATACGATTTCCATTATAGACTAACAAATGCCTTTATGATAGTAAAATTCATTAGTTAAGACAGTGCAGAATGTATGCAATTGTTATCTACCTTTTTAATGAGAAAACTGTGGTATTGTGGTTTATATGCAAGGTTATCTGGCTCTAAAGATGTTTTCTCCAGAACCTCTGAATCAGAGGTTCATGCAGCATAATGATGTTGTTGTTGGTGGCACTTCACGTGGTGCTTGCTACACAAGATGCAGGGGGCGGGAAGCAGTTTGAGTATGAGGGAGGTTGTAATCTAACACCAGCATGAATAACCATGGGAAGTCATAGAGCTAATATTTTAAACCACTAGGAGTACACATGCCATCCTTGGGGCCTCTTATTCAGCTGATGTGAGTCTTTGAATCCTGAAATCATGTTTATTTGTTATAGCAATGACCCTTTATGTAAGAAAAGATACTCATCTCTTATCACATGCCTTGCACCTTCAGATCATTGTGGCTGTAACATTACTATTATTATTGTAAAACTTGTGTGGGAAGACATGAGAAAATGGGGATTCGATAATATGACTGAAGTAATTGTGGTAGATGGTAATTTACAGAACATTTGAAACAGGAGGTAGAAGCCCCAGAGTATTAGAAAATTTGGAGGAAATAGAGGCCCACGAAAACAAGAGATTCAAAGTGGAATAGTGGCATCCCTGGAAACCTAGAGAAACAGTAGATAACTTCAATCCTGGGTGTGCTGGGAGAAATTCTGTGGATTTTAAGGTCATGCTCCACATGGTTAAAAAGGACAAACAATTCAGAAGTGCTGTTTTGTTTCTATTTCAGGTGGCAGACATTAGTGGGTGGACTTCTCCTTCATGTCTCCTGGAAGCTGGGCTGGGTGGAGATAAACTTGAGTTCAAGGTACTGTGGGGTTTTCAGTGTCTGCTAAATATTTATTTTCTGTACCTGGGTTATGACATAGCTAAGTTGGTTGTGGAGGTTGCTGATTTGCTAAAATATAAGTCTGTGTGTGTGGGTTTGTATGTGTTCTGCTTCACAGGTGTAGGAAAGAGCTTGTGTTTTAGTCTAATGAATGTTTGTGACATACACTTCAACTGATGACTAATACAAAGTGGATTCAATTTTTAACCCCTTGGTAAGACAATCAAAAAACCTTAGCCATTAGTGAAAACTGTAAGGATAACCTAATCTGTCTGTCCACATCTCTTCCCTGGATTATTTTATAGTATTATAAGAGGAGCCTTGCTAATGTGCGGTGAAGTTCACAAATGTGATCTGCCTTTTTCTCCAGGAAGCATGTCCCACAAATGGGAATAATTCACCCTTTCCTGACTAGCTTTTATAACCACACAGCAAGAGCAGCTATTGTAGTACAGGACTGATGTAATAATAAAACTCCAAATTAAAAGGTGCTATGTAGACAAAGATCATCTGCCTGAAGTGAATGTGACAACTCAGAAGAGTTGTGCTCTGCTCAGGTGGATCCATTTGGCAGTACGGATTGTGGCATATCTTTTTTTATTTCCCAATGTGTTGTAATTTAGAAGATGAATGCCCACAGCAAGATGCAGGGGGCGGGAAGCAGTTTGAGTATGAGGGAGGTTGTAATCTAACACCAGCATGAATAACCATGGGAAGTCATAGAGCTAATATTTTAAACCACTAGGAGTACACATGCCATCCTTGGGGCCTCTTATTCAGCTGATGTGAGTCTTTGAATCCTGAAATCATGTTTATTTGTTATAGCAATGACCCTTTATGTAAGAAAAGATACTCATCTCTTATCACATGCCTTGCACCTTCAGATCATTGTGGCTGTAACATTACTATTATTATTGTAAAACTTGTGTGGGAAGACATGAGAAAATGGGGATTCGATAATATGACTGAAGTAATTGTGGTAGATGGTAATTTACAGAACATTTGAAACAGGAGGTAGAAGCCCCAGAGTATTAGAAAATTTGGAGGAAATAGAGGCCCACGAAAACAAGAGATTCAAAGTGGAATAGTGGCATCCCTGGAAACCTAGAGAATTGATAACTTCAATCCTGGGTGTGCTGGGAGAAATTCTGTGGATTTTAAGGTCATGCTCCACATGGTTAAAAAGGACAAACAATTCAGAAGTGCTGTTTTGTTTCTATTTCAGGTGGCAGACATTAGTGGGTGGACTTCTCCTTCATGTCTCCTGGAAGCTGGGCTGGGTGGAGATAAACTTGAGTTCAAGGTACTGTGGGGTTTTCAGTGTCTGCTAAATATTTATTTTCTGTACCTGGGTTATGACATAGCTAAGTTGGTTGTGGAGGTTGCTGATTTGCTAAAATATAAGTCTGTGTGTGTGGGTTTGTATGTGTTCTGCTTCACAGGTGTAGGAAAGAGCTTGTGTTTTAGTCTAATGAATGTTTGTGACATACACTTCAACTGATGACTAATACAAAGTGGATTCAATTTTTAACCCCTTGGTAAGACAATCAAAAAACCTTAGCCATTAGTGAAAACTGTAAGGATAACCTAATCTGTCTGTCCACATCTCTTCCCTGGATTATTTTATAGTATTATAAGAGGAGCCTTGCTAATGTGCGGTGAAGTTCACAAATGTGATCTGCCTTTTTCTCCAGGAAGCATGTCCCACAAATGGGAATAATTCACCCTTTCCTGACTAGCTTTTATAACCACACAGCAAGAGCAGCTATTGTAGTACAGGACTGATGTAATAATAAAACTCCAAATTAAAAGGTGCTATGTAGACAAAGATCATCTGCCTGAAGTGAATGTGACAACTCAGAAGAGTTGTGCTCTGCTCAGGTGGATCCATTTGGCAGTACGGATTGTGGCATATCTTTTTTTATTTCCCAATGTGTTGTAATTTAGAAGATGAATGCCCACAGCAATTGTTCAGTCTCCGTCTCTGAAGATAGCAAAAACTTCCCGGACAATGACTCCAGTAATGACTCCAGCTCTGAAGCTGGGGTGGAATGGACTAGATGACTGCCAGAGTTGCCTTCTAATGTAACTTTATTCAGTGATTCTGCATTTGCACGTGACAACTGATGAGTTTTCTGTTTGGGATTCAAACAGCTGTCTGGTGAAACTGAATCTCCTCATTTGGAAAGAAATCCTGCATATATGTCAGTAGAACCTGACTAAGTTCTGTTTTCGTGTCCATGCAAGTGACTACATCACGACAGAAACTTAAGTGAAGCTGTAAATGGAAACAGAATGGAAGTAGCCTATATTTTATCCGCAGTGTAGATAAAATAGGGACATTGGTGTAAAAGCTGTCAGTGATAAAGGAAGAGGCAGGATTAGGGTTGAAACCTTGCTTTAGTGGCAGTTACTGATACATATATTGATAGAAAATGCATATTGTTTATGCAGAGTTTGTCTTCACAGGACAGTCTAAAGGACAAAGGGATACAGCCATCAGTAATGTCATTTTAGCCTAACTTTTCATCACTAGATTATTACTTTTGCTTGAAATCGTGACATTGAAGAAGTTGAATATTTTTTTCCAGCTTGAAAAAGATGTTTTATTTTTCTTCAAAACTTGAAACACATTGAAGAAAATACTGGACAAGAACCTTTTTGTGCTGTTGAGGGGAATGCTTTTACCTAAAAAACGTTTTGGTGAAAAAAGTTCGTGTCTTGGCTATACAGACTTTAGGCCACTAGATGTCAGCACACCACAGGAAAAGTGATTAAAATACATCTTGAGAAACCTCATTACTTTAGACAATACAGAATGCCTGTTCTAGAACAGACTGAATTAAATTACCAGAATTAATTGACGTGTTTTGGCTATAATTCAGACAACGACTTAAGCATGAGTTTAAATGTCTTTAAAAGAATTAGGCACATGCTTTAATGCTTTGCTGCACTGGACTTCTAGCACATGTCTCCTGTATTAAAAAAGAAAACCCAAAAAAACAACCCCAACCCCCTGCAAAAAAAACCCAACCAAAAGTCTCCCCAACATACAAACATAATGTCTCAAAGCTTTTATCTACCGCTCAAATTCTTTCCCCCTCCAAAGGTGAGGGCATTTCCCCACCTCTTACAGAGTATTGTTCTCTGAATCTGGTTGGGTTTGGTTGCATTGGGGGTTTTTTGGTATATGTGTGGAATACTTAAGAATACCATACCCACTCCCCAGTCTTGCCATACTTTGAATGATACATTTCTACCCATTTGTTTGTTTATTTCTACAAAGTCTCAGTACTTCTGCCATGTGGACTGATTTCATATGCGTTCTGAACCAGTTCAGGTGTTCCCAGAGTGCCTCAGTGGAATTATTTGATTACATGGATATCATTACCCTTTGTCTAGAGCCAGGAATACTAGCTTCACAATAAAGACCAAATAGATTACTTAGAGTAGTTTCTCTTAGGTTTTGTGGATATCCTGCTTTTCATCTGCTTCCCCCCAGTACTCCCAGCTGTAAGGGACACTGTTGGCATCATCATTGCTTCTAAAAGATGAATGGTGACTGTCTGAAAAACTTATATCCAAAGCAAGGGCTCTGTGGAGCACAAAGGAATATATGTAGCATCTGCATAATGCTTCCAGCGCTCAGATCTGCCACCCAGCTGCTGCCTAGCCCTTGTAGGCACATAAGTCCTATGTGTTCTGGTTGGCATTTCTTGTACTGCTGAATTTTCCTCACAGCTAAGCAGCAGTTCAGAGTCTTGCTTAAACCAGGACTCCAAAGTGTGTTTTGGGGGAAGTTACCCATTTGCTTTAGTGGGCTTTGGATCTACTAGCCCTACAACCACAAGCATGTCAGTTCTTTTATGTCACAGAGCTTTCCTGTTTTGCAGGTGCATCACCGTATTGCCAACATAAGAAGATACTAATTAGTTTATATACAAGACAGATTGTTGGTCCTGACACATATGTGCATTCTTTTTTAGTTCTGAAATTCCCACTTGGCAGCGTAAAATTCTGTCCTTACATCATAGAAAAAGCATCTGAAGTTGTTTTCCATTGCACTTTGCAGTATTGCATTTGAGATGAAGCTGTATTTGGGATTCCTAGAGTTTAGTGATGGGCAACAGGAGGGTGTGTTATATTCTAAATGAAAATTCAGTTTTCATCTTGTGTTCCTTTCATCTTCCCAGCCCTCATGTCTTTTCTTTCCTCCCCCTTTCTTTTGTTTGTTGCATTTGCAGTAAGGTGGGGGTATCTTTGTTGGTGTCTCATGTGAACTTGTTAGTAATGAGGTATGACAGTTTTAGATCCTGGTCTCAGTGAAATTCCAGTTAAAATCAATAACCTTAAAATAAACAGCGTTTTTATTAAAAAGGATGGTGACTACCCCAAAAAAACCCTGAACAAATATTTATGTCAGTGAAAGATATTTTCATTACCCTGTGCTTTTGATCAATTAGCTTAGAAAATGATGAATTAAGAAAAAAGAGGAAATGAGAAGTTTAAGGGTTTTTTCCTTGTCTGTGCTTACATGAATCTTTGGGCATGTTTTTATCTTCATTCAGGCTGTTCTGATTTAAAAATTTATTCATCTATTTTTATTGTGTTCCACAAAGTGTGGTAGTGTAGCCATACCTATAATGAGGTTTTAGCTCTTTGATGTTAGTTGGAAGTGTAATCCAAATTAAGTAAGTAACTATAAGCAGTTTGGTTTCATTTTGAGAGCCAGCATTATTCACTAACATTTGCTTGACTTTAGTCCAAAGCTTGGGAAAAGTGGATGGGGTAGCAGTGGGAAGTCTTTGGATCAGGCCCTTAGAGCACTGCTACTCCTTTCCTCCCTTTCTGAAACCCTTGCATTATTCTCTCTGAAATTTACCTGATCCCATTGTGCCTTTAAGTACCAAGAGCATAAAGGGAAAAGTGCAAATTCTGAAGCCCCTTTTCAGAATGGAAGGCTGACCTCACTGCAGTAACCACAGCTAAAAAAAATATCAGATCAATCTGCGGTGACTTCATTCCTCCTTTAGTTGTCAAACTGCCTCTAGGAGTTTGGCTCAGTCAAAGGAGTGTCATTAGGAAATCTCAAGAGACAGGCTCCCACAGAGACAATCTGATCTTTAGGAAGAATCTCTTCGTAAATCTGGCTGAGAAATGACTGTGTGGGTGGGCAAGTGTATTTGTACATAGTGAAAATGTGTGCTGTCTGTGCAAGTACGCCATTTTCTGCCTTCATTTGTCAGTTTTTCTTCCTTTTACAGTGAATCAAGGAAATCAGTTGAAATTTCTCTCCCTTAAAACCAATAGGAGTAATTGCTGTGAAACAATTTTGCAGGGAGAGAAGCCAGGGAGAGTAAGAGAAGGAAAACATGTCTGCAGATATCTCCTATCTGAGATTGGATGAAGTGATCAATTTCTGTCTCAGACTTCTTTACTACATGGGAGGAATACTGAACAGTCAGACAATGAATTTAATATGCACACCTTTGAAGTATATGTACTTACATACATATTATTATATTCCTTGCAAGCAACTGTTGCTGACTGTATGTAAACAGAATGTGGTGAAGTAATGGTGTTTTAATTGTTTTCACAGGTCTGAAATCCTGTCATGGCTTCCTGCTTCAGTCCTGTTTGTTGGCACTATTTATGCTGGCTCCAGGGCACTGTCTAGATTGGTAAGAAATGCACAAGTAAAAGCTCCTTGAAGATTCCCTTCATACAGGGTGTTTGATGCTGTTCTGGGGTTGAGGGCGAAGAGGGGTGTTAATAACACATACATTGTTAATGGTGCTAAAGCAGCAGCCCAGTCATAGGAAGTGTGTAGCAGGATCAAAAAGCACTTCCATGGCAGTCCAAAGTAGTCAGCATCTCTCTAGAGTACGCAGTGTTTTGCAGAACAGATCCTCACTGGTCTGAATTGTGCAAGTAGGGAAGAAGCTGAAGAAGTTTTGACCTGTAACTTTGCAAAAGGGGGAATGGGGCTGTGGGATCTGTGGGGAATCCTGCCAGGGAAAAAATGAAGATAATTTCTGTGAGAGTCTTTTGATGCTTTACAAGATTTGAAAAAATGAGTTGGAGGTCAGAAAGAGATTATGGGAAGGGTTAGATGGATTAGTTCTATGATCCATTTGAATTGCAATAAACCACCGAATGTTTAGATAATATCAAATGTGCTTTAATTAAAGTTGAATTATTTTTACCTAAATGGTACAGTCTTTCTTAAAAACAAAACAGAACAAAAAAAAACCCCAAAAAACTGCAACATCAATTTTTTAAAAATGGCAATGTCTTATTGATGTTATGCAGTCTTCAAGGCCAGATTCTGCACTAGTTCCCTTCTGCATTCTCTCAGTGGATCATAATATAATTCTGGAGCCAGCTCCTACACTTCAGGAAGGCTCAAAAGGGACTTTTGGACATGATTCTGCTTGTAGTGATCCCTTGAACATCCTGGTGGAGTGGTACGGCAGAAAAGGACAGGAAGTCTCTGTCCTCATAAAGAAGACTGGGTGCCTTACCTCTAACCTAAGTGACCTTTGGAAAGCACAGGCCTGTGCTCAGAAGCCCCATGCCTTGAAATTGGAGTCATAGAGTCATTTTGGTTGGAAAAGACCATCGACTCATTGAGACTTATCAAGTCCAACCATTAACCTAACTGTACCAAGTTGGGTGCTAAACCGACTAACCCAAAGCATCTCCAGAGATGGTGATTCAACCCCTTCTCTGGGCAGCCCGTTCCAGTGTTTGATAACCCTTTCAGTGATGGAAGTTTCTTATACTATCCAGTCTAATTAGCTCTGTCTTGGGCTGACTGCATTTACTTCCTCTTGGTTCCTTGTCAGAGCAAGTTCCATTGGGCTTCTCTGGTGTAAACTGAGCAAAGATCCCTAAGGAGAGCCTGTCCAGAAACAGCAATAAAGCCTGGGCAGCGTCATCTTTTCTGTCTGCTCACCTGGGAGGTGGAGGAGAAATGAATCACATCTTCTCTGCTTTTTCTTCTTACTTCCTACTCAGCCTGTAAGTTACCTTGTTTCCCTCCTGTACCAGCTCTGGTCATTCAAGAGTGAGATACACTGGAGTGGCAGAGGGGCTGTGAATAGTTTTGATTTGTATCCCAAATGTTTTGTTTCATGAGGAACGTCTCTCATTTCTGAATGGGTTTTTGTTGTACATGAATGGGGATCTAAAGGCCTAACACTGTGGCTGTTCTAGGAGGAAAGAGAAAATGACAAATAGTCTTAGGCCATAGTTGCTATGTAATGCCTTGTACTGGGGCTAGATTCAGTCCCACATAGAAGCTTTACTTAGCATAACTTTTGAGTAAGGCAATTTTAAGACACAGTGAGAAGGAAAATGGACTCCCCTAAACTCATATCTGAGTTGGCTCACCTCAGCAGCGCTTTTCAATTAAGCGGATTTGTTCCTAAAGGAGAAATTTTGTGGTCAAAGCCAGGAATG